GGATTCAAGGGTTTTTGTGTTTTCGTGTTTCGTGGGTTTTCCTGTGGGTTCAAGGGTTGGTGGTGGTGCTCGGTTGTAGATGGTGCTTGGTGCATCAGTGGTGTTGGTGGTGTTGGTGCGTCAGTGATGATAGTGTTGGTGCGTCGGTAGTGATGGTTGTGTTGGTGCGTCGGTGGTGATGGTGTTGTTGTTGCGTTGGTGGTGTTGGTGCGTCGGTGGTGATGGGTCGTGGTAGGTGGTTCCGGTGGTGGTGGTTGGTGATTCCGGTGGTGCTAGGTGGTGGGTGGTTTCGGTGCTGTCGGGTGGTGGTTGGTTTCGGTGATGCCAGGTGGTGGTGTCGTGGTGGTGGGTTATTTAATTAATTAAGGTTGAATTTGTTTTTTTTTTTTTTTGGGTAGGATTAATAGTTAAGCATATACCCTTATTTTTCAATAATCACCCTTTCAATCTTTTGCCTTGGCCTCCGCAAACATGTACTTTGTTGCGAGTAATGTGAAGTCACTACTAGAATTTCGTCCATTTCCGACGGAAAAAATCTGTCGCAAACACCCTTAATTCCGTTGGAAAACTTGTTTCCGACGGAATTCCATCGGAAGTCGTCGTCGGAGAAGTGTTTGTAGGAAAAATGACCTTTTCCGACTAAAATTTTGTCGGAAACACTTTTCCGACGAAAATGTCGGAAACACTTTTCCGACGGAATTTCCGACGAAATTTTCCGTCGTTAGTGATTTTCCTGTACCGGCATAATCCGTTGGAAATTTCCGACGGAATTTAAAATTCGTCGGAAATTGCCGACGGAAATTCCGTCGGAAAATAATTTCAGGAAATTAAAAAAAATACGCCGTGCCACCACTGGCACGACGTATCACCACCTCCAACCACCCAAGACGCCCCTCTCAACCACACCACAGCCTACCCACCTTTACCGAAACACCACACCAAAACCCCAACCCACATCCACCCTTGACCGAACCCCACCAAACCCACACCACCCAACCCAAAACCCAGCCACCCAACCAAACTCACACCACCCAATTACCCAAAACCCAGCCACCCCACCAAACCCACACCACCTAATTACCCAAAACCCAGCCACCCCAACCCAAAACCCAGCCACCCCTAACCGAACCCAACCGAACCCACACTACCCACCCCTAAAAAACCCCACCAAAACCCACACCACCCTGACCGAATACACTAACCAAACCACAACCACCACGAAAATCACCATAATACGACCCAGACCACAGCCACCACCGAAAATAACCCAAATTTAGATCCACCACCACCGAAAATCATCCAAAAATTAAATAAAAAATCAAAATTAAAAATTAGAACGTACCTTAAGATAAAAAAACTTCAAAATTAACCACGAACTTGGTTTAACAAGGCCAAATTCGACCACGAAAACCCTAGATCTAGGATTTTCATGGTCGAATTTGACCTTAAAAACCATTAATTTGACTAACATCACCATAAACGACATAAAAGGAGGAGAGTTTGCTTGAGAAGAGAGTAAAGCTTGGCTGAGAAGAGAGTAAGGAGAAGGAGGAGAGGAGAGAGAAAGTGTGAGAAGAGTAGGAGGAGGAGGAGAGAGAGAGAGCGTGAGGAGAGAGAAAGGGAGGAGAAGATCAAAAGAGGAAGAGATGAGAGGAGGGAGGCGGATTGTGAATGAGGGGGGTTGGGGCGCCGTTTTATTATTAGGGTTTTGGGGTTTTTTCCTTTTTTTAAAAAAAAAAAAAAAATTAAATTTCGTCGGAAACGGGTTATAATCCGTCGGAAATTTCGTACTTTCCGACGGATTTTCTTGTCCGTCGGAAGGGTTCTGTCGGAAATGACCTGTTTTCTTGTAGTGAGTGGAGGTAGTATATATATGTATGAGAAATTCCTTATATGATGAATGGTGGTTGTCAGATGAAATATAACTTCTATCTTATCAAGGTGTTCATTTTCACAAAATCACAAACATTTTAATAACATTGAATCGCTATCGTCCTACAGTTGATAGTAATTATTCTTTGTTGTATCTCCTAAGTAATTTCCGTGCGTAATACACGGTTGTAGTATAGGGTCTGAATTATACTTTTAAGAAAATGATCTCGTTCACACCTCGAAGATTTTTTTCCTATAATTTCATTTCCATTTCTTTGTGACCCTTGTTTACTAGAAAATCCCCAACACTTTTGTACGTAAATTGAAATGTAATCTACTAGAAAGTGTATGCAGTAATTTGATACAATAATCGCTAATTCTCAAGGTGTTTGGCCAACTAACTCGGTTGGGTTAACTATGTGGAATATAAGTTCGATAGAGCAATTTTTCTTACATTTCAAATAATGTATATATGCAATACTAAGGGCATATTCCGATTTACTGCACTGAACTGAACTGATTGGAGCTAAGTTGAACTGAATAGAGCTGAAATGAATTGTTTTTGAGAGAAGAAAATTAGGAAATGAACTAAACTGAACTGAACAAAAATTAAGCTGAACAGTACAGGCCATAATGTTTTAGGATGCTTAGTATTCATCTCTAACGGCTAATTTGATGTTAATAAATAATGATTATGTGCAAATTTGTGATAAAACCCCTTGTGGAGTATATCACTCTTATAAATTTTAATTCGTTTGGTCAGAATTTAAAATTCCAGTAATTAGTAACATTGTAAAAATAGTTCATCTATATCTTATAACTTTGACTTTTCCTTAGTCCTCGACCTTATTTTCACTAATCTAAAATAGGATTGTTCAAAAATCATAATCGAAGCTGTCTCCAATTTAAGAAATTTATATTGTCGGTCTTCGACCTAACCTAGTTTAAAAGCTTAAAAATATTCTAGACCAAACTAATATTATTGTTTAGAATTGTGGATTTAATTCTTCATAATGTTTTTAATTTGTTACCTTCAATATACTAGGAAGAGCTCGTGGTGCAATGGCCTAGGTGGTTGCCTCACATCCTCGGGGTGCGAGGTTCGAGCCTCACCATGAACAAAATCCCTTCCCTTACCCCCACCGAGGCTCCAATGATTCTGGGGCCAATTGAACCTTCGTAACATAAATAATAATGCTAGGAATATTTTTAAATTAGACATTCAAGATAAGCACTAAACAGTAATTTTACCCACATTTTTCCGATTCGCTGCGTTAATTAAACATTTATTAAAAGTAAACCCCATATAATAACCCGCGGCATCGCTCGGCCCTAAATACTAGTTAAACAAAAAACAATTAAAAAAAACGGTTTTTTCATCATATACCCCTGAGTTTTTACATAATTCACCATATACCATCAAAAATTTTCAAATTCACCATATATCATTCCATTTCACGAAAAAGTCACAATATACCAGAGTTAATGACTTTAGCCATTAAGGTTAATTGTGCCACATGACTGTCAGTATGTCACTTATTGGTTCTTATTAATATTATTTAATTACTTACTTTAATAATAATAAAAAAAAACTTTTAAAAAACAATTTTTTTTTTTTTTTAAAAAAAACCATCATCATCCTAGCCAAATTGCTGTTTGCCAGCCAGCCCCAGCTGGCCGGCGCCCATCACCAGTGACAACCCCAACCCCAACCCTCACCCCTCTCCCTTTCCTTCGTTCCTTTCCCTGATCTCCACAACCCTACCACCAATTTACCACCTAGCCACCCTTTCACTTACTAACAACCCCTTCCCCACCCCGGTGATCGTCCATACTGGTCCTCCATCGCCAGGCGACCCACCCCTTACCTTTAATCCTTAGTTGACCCTTTCCCTTCCCTCGTCGTGCCACCAACCAAACCCTAACCCACGAAATCTACAAAATCTCACTCCCTTGCTTTAACAAAACAACCTGAATTCCCCTCCTCTCAAATTGAAGAAAAATTGAGATAATTCTTTCCCCAACTTTAAAAAATTATCTATGATTTATTTGAAGAAATTGAACATCGTTTGAGGTTACGGTTAGGCTTGGAGTTTTGATCGGAATTGTTTTTTGAAGAGGAAATATAGAGGGGAAGGGGTGCGGCATCGGCGCGGGGAGAAGGGTATGGGCACCAGCAGCGGGTAGGAGGCACTGTTGGGGTGGCTAGGTTTGGGGAATCGTGGTTTTCTAAAAAAAAAATTTGTTTTTAAATTTTTTTAATTATTTTAATTAAATAATTCAAATAAGAATCAATTAGCAAACTTAACTTGACTAACATACATAGTAGAGGTGGGCATCGTGCCGTGCCAGGCCACACTTGTCGCCCGTGTTTTTTTTTTATTTAAAAAAATCGATATAGTTTTTTGAACAACTTTTAAAATGGATACACTATTTAAATAATTTTATTAACTTATGTGTATGTTATTTTATTATTATATTATTATTGTTCTTTTTATTATTATAGTTCTTTATTATTTATGTTATTTTTATTATTAATTTGTTTGAAGCAGCGAAATGAGTATTCGTTTTGCATGGGCTGCGCTGTGCCTGGCGTGCCGCATGCCGTACTTGGACGTGTCATGTGTCGTGCTCGCAGATTCGTGCACGTGCCAAATTTTCAAAATTGTGTTCACGACACGGCCCACTTCTCGGTCATCGTGCCATGCCGTGCCATTTTTGTGTCTGGCCGCCCGCGAAAAGCCCGACCCATGCCCATCTCTAATACAAAATTAACGGAAAATCGTATGTGGTGATATTTTCATGAAACTGATGATCATATGATGAATTTAAAAAATTTCAATGGTATATAATAAATTAAGTTAAAACTCAAGGCCTCAAGGGTGTATGGTGAAAAAACCGTAATAAAAAATATATATATATTTTTGCATTCGTTGAAATTCAGGGTATATGGTGAAAAAACCGTAAAAAAAAAATTAAATAAAATAAAAGGGTAATGTTATATGTAGCCCTAAGTATACTCTTGGAAATTGTATAAAATTAGAAATTCATGACAAAAATACGCGTAAATCAGTATTATTAGTGTTTATATTTTGATGATTTCTTAACTTTTTACTATTTTTTAGTGTAAATTTTGCATTCGTTAGAGTTCTTCAGCAACTCAACAATTGTGTAAAAATAAACAACTCGACAACAAAAATCTGAAATCACAAATTTATTGAAGCCTAAAATTTTGAAAATACAAGAAGAATTCATGTCAATGGAGGTTCCTCCAAATTCAATTTCCCTCTCTTCCTGGGATTACCTTCTTCTCTTCTTCCTACGTCCTTTCTTCGCTCTTCTCTTTGTTCTCTCCGTCCTCTGCTTAGGTATATCAATTCAACTGCAATTAAAGAATCAATTTTTTGAATTTTGATCAATTAATCATCTGAGAAATTACAATATTAAGGTTAATTGATTGATTAATTGATGAATGATCTCAAATTGCAGGTTGGTGGATGGCGTGGAAATTGGTGCTAGTTCATGTTCCATTGGTACAAGAAATCTTTGGATTGCGTAAAAAATCTTCTAAACCCAAGAATCCAGAGCGTCGCTATTCTCAATTCTACAAATCCCGTGATTCTTCTGCTAATCCTCCTCCTTAATTATGGTCGCTATTCTTTCATTTATTCAATTTTCCAACTTTATATTTTTTGTGATGAATTGTCAATATTTTGTGATTTATTAGCTTATTCTTTGTTTGAAAATTGTGTAAATGTGTAAGTAAGTTGCAATTCTGTGGTTTGTGTGAACGAATTATTGCATTTTATTGGATACAAGTACCATTCAAACATTGTGGTTTTGGCTGAGAAATTTAAATGAAATACCAATCAAGTATATCTTAGTTGTATTAATTGAAGTTGAACTATGTGTTTCTGTTCACTCTAATCCCAATCAATTCATATAATATTGGTCTGTATAATTGCACAAGGTCAGATTAGACTAGTTCGGCAACTTAAAATTAGATTAGTTTAGTTTAGGAAATATACTGGTTTTCATGTCCAATTTACAATTCTATTGTTATAATAAGTTCAAACAACTGTAAATCAGATTAATATGAATTCGTGATTGAGAAGAGGCGAAGAGATTGGTTTAGGAATGTATTTTTGCCATTATAACGACCATTATTAAGTCTACATATTTCATAAAAAGCATGGAAAGTGAAAAGATTATTGCGTTCTGTGTTGATTTATGAATATGGTACAATGCTTTGTGTACCCTTTTCAGAGTAGATGATTCCTCTAATTTCATCATCTTTGCTAGTTGCTAAGTAATTAAAAGCATTATAATTTTCAACATGTATCCGGTTGATGGATGGATAAATTTCATAGATTTCCAGCATGCCCTTTTTTTTTTTTACAATCTAGAAAGACTTTGTTGGCCTAGAAAGAAATTATGAAGTGTGATTGTGGAGGATTCTTAGGTCGAAATTTGGTTTTTAGGAAACCTTGTTGCTGAAGCCATTCCATGAAGTTGAATTCATAAGTTTCATGTATGTCTGAAGCATAAGTTGCCAATGAATTAAATACATAATAATTGATCTATTATGCTTGATGCTTGCATAGCTGTATGAATCTCCAAAAATAAACAGACTTTTTGATTCATAATCCAAGTAGAGGGCTTTGATCTAGCTTCTTTGGGTAGGATAGCTGAAGGTAGAAAATCTTTAGATTCATCTCCAATGGTTTAAGCAGGTCAAGCGTTGTTTAGGTAGGTTTAGTAGTGTACATTTCATTGGAGATGCCCTTATTGAAAAATCCGAGTCTAACAATCTTATATACGTAGAACGTAGTTGATGTTTAGTGCATATAACTTTTGCAAATTAAATATAACTGACTGGGATACTATAGGTGAGGGCCGAGGGGGATGAATTAAACTTTGACTAATTTGATTTTTTAATCTTTAAATTTAAGTGCCCCCAAATTTATCACTTCCAAAGTTACAAGGTCTCAAATTTGAATTCTTACAGATCATTTAAATTTATCTAAAATCTTTGTGGGTTTGAATACTATCCACCACCCTACATTATTGGCATTTGAAAGTCTTGGTAGTCTCCTTGGAGCTTACTACAAGAATTAGGATAGGGCGCAGCAAGCCTCCCATTCCGGCATTCCCCCACCTCAAGCTCTTTCCTTTGGATTCCTCTCCCTCCCTTTCGTCCTTCTCTTTTGTGTACAAACAGTGCTATGTCTCTCTTTCATTGTATACCTATTTCCATTGTCACAGTGTCAAACAAATTACTTATTGAGGGCTCTCTCTAATGCTGCTCACGTTTTTCTGTGTGCTTTATTTTTTAGCTGCTAATCAAGACCCCTCAAAAGTTAATTACTTCCAGTTTGTCCGTCTTCACAGCTTTCGGTTTATTCTTCTTTTTCCTTGATATGATGATATCCTTAAAACTTTCATATGGGTTAGGGGTGCTCATTTCATATCTATCAGATTTGAAGGTTCTATGGGACCGGAGGGTTATGAGGAAATGCTATGTTGTAAGGTTGGAGAAGCTTCTGAAAAAGGAACTAGAATTAAATTATTGTCGGGACAATATAATTGTGTTCAAATTGGGATTGGGGTTTGAAATTGATTGATGTGGAGATAATTAAATTTGAGTTGCTGGGAAGGTGAGGAAACTTATATTTGTTAGACTCGTAGCATATGAGCATTGGAAGAAAAGGTGGTTGGTTACTTTGGCATACAGGTGTTTGAAATATAGAGAAATGGAGGTATATGCTTCAATACATGAAATTTTGTACAGCCAGCATTGATTATGCGTGTTTGTTTTCTTGCTAAGAAATTTTGATGTTGTAGCTCTATTTGGAATGTGGATGTTGCTGCACTTGGTTCTGTTTGTTTTGACGAAAAATATTTTCCCACTTTTTGCTGTTTGGCTTATGAACGGTGGTAAACAATTTTCTTAAAGGTGGGACATATTTTTCTAAACAGCAGAAATCATTTTCCTTTTGAAATTTTGAAATGAAGGGATGTCACGTTTTCCTTCCTACTCTTAACAGTCCTAATACCCCCTTTTTCTCCTCCCTTATTCTTCAATTCCCTCCATAGTTTTACTTGTAAGATTATGTTATCCGTTGCTCATTGTTTTCCAATCATATTACCGTAAAATATTTTTGTAAAAATAAAAGAGCCTCTGATGAAAGTAAAATGGCTAGTTATCTTTTCCTTTTATCTCCTTACTTTGCATTTCAATTTCAGCTTATATCTGTTAGTATATTGGTTCTTGACAGTCGCTGCAATGTTAATGTTGTGTCTTGCCAGGTAGATTGATGTTAAAGCTTATGGATCATATTAATACAGATGGATAGATATGGGCAACTACCTGGTTCTAGACGGAGAAATTGTAGGATTATGCTATGCGCTTTTTGCTTTGTGAACTGTTTGTTCGTGTTTATCACTCTGATGTTGAGATTTGTGGACACGGTAGATATTATTGTTCTGCTTGGCCTGAATTAGAATGTGATGCTGCGGATCTGTTGTGAAGGAAAGTGTCCCTGAAAGCTCCAAAGTCGAAACAAAACATTGGGTCAGCGATCATTATCTTCCCATCCACACAAGGTCACAAGGGAGTATCTGATTCTGTTTTCTATACTTGTGGACACCAATTCATGGTCCTACTTGAACTACACCGGACCATGCTCCATGTCCCCAACCATCGCAATACCTCTTCCCTAATATGTACCCAAGCTAATTATTTCGCTTTACCACATTATGTGGATTGGTGAATCCGTGCAAACATTGTTAAAAATTGATGTGTGACATAAAAAGTTGTATACTTGTATTGTATGGCTTGAATCTTGTACACAAATACGGATTGTATGGACGACCTAGCCTTAGAATACAGTATATATTTACTACTCCGTACGTTTTATGTATTTTTAATCATATATGTCCAACAGATAATCATTTATTAATTTAATCATATCAAAATGGATGAGATAATTTGGTATATACGGAGTACAATTTTAAAAATAAATAATTTGGTATATAATGATAGTTACTCCTTCCGTTCCACAATGATATTTTTGTTTGGAATCTTTGACTTTTTTAAAGAGAAAATTTTCTAAATTTCTCTTAATCTATAATAACAAATATAGTCATATGGGATCTAGTTTGATTCGTCTTAGTGAGTAGATTATTGATATCTAAGTTTTATAATTTTTGCTAGTGTGAGATTAAAGATTTTTGCGGTCAAAGATGAGTAAAAATTTGCATCGATTTACGGAACAGGAACATCATTTTAAAATGCAATCAGTATAATGATAACATCATGCAAATCATGATCCAATAATTATATTGTACTCCCTCCGTCCCTTAATTACAGGCAAATATACTATTTTGGATGTCTCAAAATGTTCTTCCTATTACTAAAACTAACACCTAATCATTACTTACTTTTTAGCTTTTCCATACAAATTACACACATATCTAAAAAATCATTAGTTACTTTTTCTTTTTTCATACAAAATACACATATACCTAAAAAATCATTACTTACTTTTTAACTTTTCTATACAATATTCTCTACTTTTTATTTTCCCCATACAACATTCTTCACTTTTTATCTTTTTTCATACAATATTCTTCTACTTTTTCTATTATCCTTAACAACCGTACTTTTTAGAATTATTTGTTTGTAATTATGGGACGGAGAGAGTACTATTATAATAATAACATCATCCCGCATATCACGTTACATTAAAACTTTTATCAAAAAAAAAAACTTTTCAAAGTAGCCATATATACCCAACATTTTAAAAATGAGAAAGTACTAACTTTTAGGAATAAAGGGAAATAAATAGCGCTCTTGCCTGGATTGACTAATATTGTAAGGGGTTGTTTGGTTACACAAAGAAAATGGGGGAAGTGGAAAATTATAGGAATTTGAAAATACATGAGTTGTTTGGTTGACAATAAAAAGTGTAAATGACGGAATTGTAAATTCATGGGAATTGTGACTTCCCACAAAATATGGGAAATTAATTACCTAACCCCCCCAGGTAAGTCAAACTTCCCATGATTTGCAACTTCCCTCATGCCAACCAAACAACTTTATACAATTCCCATGATTTTGATGTAGGAATTTAATTCCCATGAAATACAAATTCCTATGGGAAGTAATTTCCCATAGAAACCAAACGACACCTAAGATTGTGGATAGTAATTCCTCCGCTTTTTAATAGTTGTAACACACACTTTTTCACGGTATTTAAAAAATATGGGGCTCACATGATATAATACACTTTAAAATAGGATGAGTGGTTGTTACTTGTTAGTAGTGCAATTTAATGGGCCGTGTGCTTTAAATAAGAGAAATAGTATAATTATTCCCTAAAATAACTTTCTATTTATGATGTGTTGCAAGTATTGTGACATTTCCATTTTAATAAAGTGTTGCAAGTATTAAAAAAACGGAGGAAGTATATTGAAGAAAAAAACTCAAAAGATGAAAGCAAAATAGATAATGGTGAATTTTCCACCTAATTTTCGTTCGCAACTCAGGGCCTGTTTTCATTGACTGAACTCAGTTGAACTGAACTAAACTAAACTGAACTGAACTAAATTTATTAGACTTGAACTGAACTGAACTGAATGCTTTATAAGAGAAGGAAATTAGGAGCTATCTGAACTGAACTGAACTTATTAGAGTTGAATTAAACTGAACTGAAAATAAACGAATGAGAACAGGCCCTCGTTACTTGTAAGGCCTTAAAACTAATTTATTAGATGTATTATATTAAGGAAAATTTCACAAGAATAATCCAACTTTTAGCTTGTTCTCCCAAAATAATCCAACCTTTTGAATAACCTTGAATAATCCTAAGTTTACTACTTATCTTCTCTTACCGAGCCTTTTTGACCGGTTACCTGAACTTCAGGTTACTTTTTTATTTTTTTTTTAATTTTTTTTATTTTCCTTAATTAACTTCCCCTGCCTTCTTCCTTCTCCCCTCTTCAACACTATTTCAAGCTTCCAGCCATTAACAATGGCTCCTTCACCTCTCTCAACCTTGCCGCCACCGTGCACAACCTCACCTCATTGTCAGCCTAACCCATTTTCCCATCAACCAGCCCGCCCCACTAGCACCTCCTCTTCCTGTCGACCAGCCCTCCACGTGCCACAACCTCGCAATCTGCCCGTAACTTAGCCACCACCACCACCTCCGATCCGCCACCACTAACCCCACCCAAACCCACTCCCGTCAAACTCACAACCACCAATCCCACCTAATTGTATACGGCCATACCCGAATTCACCAACCCACCCCAACCCATACCCGAAACCCTAATTCTACCTATGTTTATTGAGATGAACACTACAAGAGGGGGGTGAATTGTAGTTGAGTTCTTAAATAATAATTTTGCAAATATAAAACAGAACAAAATAGGAACTTGCGATGCACACAGATTTTACGAGGAAACATTCTAGTGCCCAACTAGAAGTAAAACCTCGACCCTACCTTAGGGATTTCAAACACAAATACTTCCACTATAATAGGGCAAACACCAAGTTACAACCTATTATAATTCAGCCTCTACTCACAAGTTTCCAAGTGAACTTGCTACAGAACAGATCACTGTTCTTCCCAGTTTGAGTCCCACACTCAAACTCTCTCGTACTCCCTAAGTACAGATCTCCCCCTTCTCACCAGAAGCTCTCTCGTACTCCCTAAGTACAGATCTTCCCCCTTCTCACCAGAAGCTCTCTCTGTATACAATGATAAAAAATACTCTCACCCTAATAAACCCGAAACCAAATACAAGAATTAACACCTAGTATATGATAGGCAAGCTATGCATGAGAACCGAAACTAATATAACAGTATGATAAGCTTGGAAAACTTATACGACTATCACTCTGTAAATTCTTCACGCATAAAACTCACAAAAACCTAGGCTCGTGTTATTCTCTACTATTTATATGAGTATTACCTGTATAAACAGTAGGTTTTCATAAAGATAAATAAGTAAAACTTAACTTATCTTAAAACACGGTTTTTTTAATTAAATCCTTTGAAGAAAATCTTTTCAGAAAATAAGATAGAAATATTGAATTAAAAAGCATAATATCTTTTTAACAAACTGATTTTAAGAGATAAATATTTAAAGAAAATCTTTTTCCGATTTCTATCTTTTATCTTTTCCGATTTTAATTTATTTTCTAAGCTAACTATCACGCTTCTAATAAGTTTCATGCATATCCTACTTAACATATTTAACAATGAATCTAGAAGATAAAATCTTAACTAAAACATTGCTGCGCTGTACTCTTGTTCTGGTAGGTTTACTTGGGCTCCACGCTTACTAAGTTCCTCCAAAGATCTTAGTCAGCAATCTTCAAGTTCCTGTGAAGGAACGTTCCTGTGAGGGAACTCAGTTCCTGTTAGGGAACTCAGTTCCTGTTAGGGAACTCAGTTCCTGTTAGGGAACTTTTCTTTTCTATTGAATAACTTTCTTGATAAAGTACTCCTTCAAGTCTTCTCAGCTTTAGTTACTTCTTCTATCTCCAAGATCAATTTCACCTAGGCTGCACAAACACTTGAAAAGTCTTTATGAGATGAGTTTGATGTAACTTAAGTTCCTCATCATCAAAACCTTTAAACATCAACAATTTCCCCCTTTTTGATGATGACAAACTTAAGCAAACTCTTGAGAAAGTTAAAACAAAATAAAAGGTCGTATTTTTGTATTTTAAATTTATTGACAGAAAATAAACACACAACAGAAATAAAACAAAAACAAAAAGTAAGATAAGTAAACTAAAAGTAAACGAAACTGAGAAAGTTATGATACTTTCTCAACCGGAACCCAGAACAACTTCAGCCTCCATGTTTGCTTCTTTTTTTCCCCCTTTTGGCATTATCAAAAAGTCCTGTATTTTCAAGTTTATGAAACATCCACCAACAGCCCCACAAGCAATTCATCGAGTGTGGGAAACTAAAAGCAGCGCTGCTAAACAACCTCAAGTAAGATCTACTCTTCAGCATAAGTGTTCAAAATATACAAAACACACAAGTATAAGCAAGAGTTCCAACTTTTCATTAAAAGCCAAAATACTTAGCCTCCAGATGAACAATTTTAAAAATTTACAATCAAAATCAATTGTTCAAATATTAAAAACGAAAATTAAATATGTTCATAACTAAGACAGTGAGAGAAAAAGCTAGGCTGATTTTGAGATGGGGTAGGCTGGATTTGAGATGGGGTAGGCTAGGTTTCAAGAAACTCCAGAATCTTGTTGAAGTCCTCCTTTGTTTGCTTTGCAGAGGCCTCCAACTTTTCTTCAACCCCCTTGAACTTCACCAGGAACTCCTCCTTATGTTCCTGTAGAGCCTTGTGAATTTCTTTCTCCTGGAACTCCTTCTGTTCTTGAAGGTCCTTGGTCTGTTTGAGCATCATTCTCTTGAGTTCCTTTAACTCCTTCCCCTTCTCCTGGACTAATTTTTCAAGTGACAGCACATGAAGTTTTCCAGCAGAGTCCTTCATTTGACTCTCTACCCTCTCCATTCTGTCGGCCAACTCAGCAACTTTCCCTTCAAGGATATTCTCCTCGACATCCAATTCCAGTGGTTGTTCCATGCTAGTTTGAGGAACACTACTGGCAGAAATCCTCCTACTCTTCCTTACAGGCTGTTCTAACATAGCCTTTTCCTTCCTCTTCCCTGTAACTCTCTCTTTCTTTTTCTCTCCTTTCTCTAATTTCTGAATTTTTCCCTGTACTACTTCCAGACTTAACCCAACAAGGGTTTCCTCATTGATCACATTTTCTGGCTTCTCATTCAAAGCCCCATATTTTCCTTTTAAGATCACTCCTGCATTTTCAAAAACAGTAGACAAAATGGCTCCATACCCCACTTTTGTCCTACTTGGAACACAATGAGCTAGATGCTGATACATCAAAGAAGAAAAGTTCACCTTAAT